CAATGATTTTTCGTGAGACTTGTAAGACCAATTTTCAGCCCTTGGATTAGATTTACAATCTGAACATTCATAATCACAAAATTGTCACTGTGTAACTTTAGACTATTAAATCTTTAGCTTATAAAGTTGATCAATGAACATAAATTGGTCTTACGAGTCTCACGAAAAACCATTGGTCTCACGTGAAGTCAACCCTATATATATATATATATATACTTGGGATCATGTGAAACCAGTGAGTCTCGTAAGACCAATTCTCAACCCTTGGATTTAGATCTACAATCTGAACATTCATAATCACAAAATTGCCACGAGACTTCTCAATAATCACAAAATTGCCACCGTACAACTTTAGACCATTAGATCATTAGCTTTTAAAGTTGATCAATGAATATAAATTGGTCTTACGGGTGTCACGAAAAATCTCTGGTCTCACGTGAACCTAACCCTTTATATATATATGTATGTATAGGGTGGTTCAAATACTAACCCATTTTTTTGTGTTAAATCTACTAACCAACATCAACCAATCACATTCTTTCTTTATTTTATGTTCAAATGTAACTTATAAATTGAATACAAGGGTCATTTTGTAATTTGACCTTTATGTAATTCCCTAATAATTATTTGGGAGTTACAAATCTTTTAAGATCCCTCTAATTGATCATGAGGTAATTCCGATGTTCACGGTGTTCATGGTGTTCATATCCATGTAATGTCCATGAACATTCACCATGTTCATATAAATGTTCACCAGGCATCTCAATTAATATATTAATTAAATGATTATTTTTATAGTCTCATTTAATAAGGACCGTTTGATGAGAAAATGAACGATCAAAATCGGGTTAACATAGTTTGCACAATAGTTTTGGTTAGTATTTGAACCAGCCCCTATGTATAGATATATATATATATATATAAAGAGAGAGGGAATGTTTACTTTGCAAACCACGTTATTTGTATACACCATACAAACCTCATTCAACCAATCATAGTTTTTTTATTTTGTTCATTTTTTTTGTAATTATGGGAGGTTGATTAATCATTTTTATTGTGGAGGGTGTTAATAATGAATATTATCATCTTCATTAATTTTAGAGAAATACATGAAACAGTTTAATTAAAATTTCATTAAGTATTTATATGAAACAGTTTCATAACGATATATAAAACAACTTCATCAAAAAAAAGTATTATATGAAACAATTTCACAAGATTAAACAATTTCATGAAAAAAAATTCATAAGATTAAACAATAAAATCGACGGATGAGGGTGGTTTGCACAATTTGTACAAATTGGATGGTTTTGCATTCTATAAGGGGTATAAAAGAAAATTGACAAAATAGGAGTCAAAGTAGGCTGGGGTGTCGGGTGGCCCCTTACGCATCATGCACTGGCCGGTGCGTAAAGGTCAGCTGCCGACGGCTAGGCCTTGTCACATCGATCAAGTTCGATTTTTGTTTTTTGCAATTAGGTCATTCTACGCACCGGTTGATGCTAAATGTTAAATGGAGGGTTAATTGTTGCAAACGATTTAATTGAGGGTTAATTTTGTAATTTTAATTTACTAGAACGTGTATTTTAGTCAAGATCTCATTATAATCATCTCATCCATACCTTCAAAATAAGCTCCATTTTAAACCTTTATCCCACAAGTGATGACTATTTGACATTCATTGATTATTTGGTACTACACATTCTTAGCATGCAAGTAATTGCTTTATAACGAACAAATTACACCATCATAATAATCTCGTCAATACTTTGAATGTATTGATTTAAATGATTGATAATATAAAAAAAATGGTATTTTGACTCTAATACCGTCTTTTATTTTATAAAATAATGATTAATCATAAATGGTATTTTATTTATTTATTTTAATTTTAAGAATACAATACTTAAATTAATATAGTTTTAATAAATAAATAATCATATGTTAATTTTAATTTATTTTAAACTTAAAAATACAGTTAAGTTTATAATATTGAAAAATACACATTTTTGTTCATACATTATTGATTAATTAATATGGTTAAAGTATAAAGTTAAAAATAGAAAAGTAATAAGTGTAACTCAAAAATATAGAAAATATTGAAAGTAAAAAACAAAAAAACTATAAGGGCTAAAAATGAAATTAGGTACAGTCAAGGTTAAGAGCTAAAAATGTAAATTCACTGGTTTTAGTGTTAATTTGTTATTTAGGTGGCGTTTGTTTTTTAAAAGGTGCTGAAATCTGAAGTCTGAATTCACTTCTGATTTTTAAGAGGTTGTGCTGAAGTCTGAAATCTGAATCAGTCAGACTGTTTGTTTTTTGCGTCTGAAATCTGAAGTTTGAAGATGAGAGATCGAGAGTTGATATGGATCGACAGTTGACAAAGTTGAGAGATGAGAGATCGAGACAGAAGAGTTGATCTAGAGAAATCGAGCGCAAAGAGATCAGAGTAGGTAGGCGACGATTTGAAACAAGAGGTAATAAGAGGTTTCGCAACCACTTAAATTTTCAGACCTAATAAGAGCTTTTAAGCTCTTAATTGAAAAAAGAAAAAAAACACATTGAATCCTTTTATGTTTGACTGATTCAGACTTAATAGGACATTAAGAGCTTTTTTATTAAAAAAAAACAGCCCTTAATAATAGGTTTAGTCGGTAGCGGATTCAGAAACTTAACTGATCGAGTCAGATTTAGGGGTATAAAATAAATTCCGAAACTGAATAACCAACCGAGCCAAAATTGTTCCAGGTTATTTGGTTTTCGAGTTAAATACTTCAATTAACAAAATAATAATAACTTATTCGATTTAGTTTCAAAATCTTTTACTGTTTCGGTTAAACTGAATAGCAAATTATAAAATTTTATATATTTTAATTCTTGACAACTGGTTTAAGCATATGGGACAAGTAACATATGATGAACTAATTTATTAGAGTAACAAAAGTTTAATGATTGCAATGAGATTTTGAAAAGGTTTGACTTGGGTCAATTGACTCGTAACTTTCAAGGTGGCTTTCGTCACTGGTTTTTAGTAGACGGGGTATAGATAGAATTTGATATTCAAGTTAGTTGTTCTTGTTAGAGCATCCACAATGTTGAGTTTTTTCATCGAGTTTTTTCATTCTACTTCGTTAGCAATTCAACAACTCGATCATAAAAATGGTGTTTGATTGGTTTAAGCTTGAGCTTCACAGGTCAAAAGTGTCTGGAGATCTCTGGTTCGAATCCAAGGAGGAATAAAAATCCCATTGTGGCCATGGAGGTTAAGATGCGGTGACTCCGAGTTACACACAAAGCGGATGGTCACTCTGCAATTAATCGGCTCGCATAATGAATTGGATATCCATGTTAATGAAAAAATCAACTCAAAAACTTCAAACATATGACATATCTCTACCATGACAAAAACCTCTTTAAAAAATATTTCATAACTTTTTTCAAAATTTCCAAGGTCCCGCTATTTTTTTTACTTTATATCATGAATATTATTATTTATATAAATTGATATATTAAAATTTATACATATATATATATATAATAAAATATTGTTATTTTAATTACGTACTTATTTTACACATATTTTTATTTAAATATATTAATAATATATATTATATATAAATGATTATAAAAATATCTACAATTTTGATATAAAATTAAATATATAAAAAAATATAATACTTCAATCATGTATTTATTTTACATTATTCATTAATTATATAAAACTGATTAAACACAAAACTCTTATAAAATTATATAAAATTAAAACCGATCATATACGAAAAACCTCTAAAAAAGCAGGTCATACAGTTACGATCTTTAACCAAAAAACATCACAAAAATCCTCAAACGAAAAGGTTGTCACCATATCAAAACACCTCACCTTCACGTTTTTCACCTTTAAAAAGCTCCTAAAAATCTCCCAAAAAACCCGTCATGGATATTCTTATTCAATACATTCATGTTTCCTATGAAGTGTTGGATTCGACATTACAAAACATGTGTGCGAGAAAACTAAATACTAATATGTTTTTTTACACTCTAAATACTTATAATTATTTTTGCTTATAAAACCACTATTCTTATACATTAAATTCCATAAAAGAACGTAATCGTAAATATGATTTCATATTAATACGATATATGTGTGATGATTGTCATTTCATATAAAAATTAAATGCCATTTATTACACATATGATATCTATAACAACCATTTCATAACAAAATCTAAATTTATTACAGTGTGATTAGAAAAAAAAATAGTATCTAATGCTTTGCATTTGTACAGATCTTAACTCATCTAACAGTCACATTTCGTCATCATTTTGTAGTCGTTCCACCGTTAGGCCACGCTATAACCGTTACAACCAGTTCCTAGTTTGCATTCCGGTCTCTGTGAAGTCCGAACATCATATAATGTTTTAGGGTATTGGACGAGTATGATATGTCACATCAGAATATGGGGTCCACAAAAAGTGAAATATATACGATAAAAAAATGTAAAATTAATATTTTGTAATAAATATATAAGATACATCACAAAACACGTTTTTATACGCTATAACTCTTTCGTGCACAATCAACATATCATTTAATTTTTATAAAAAAATATTATTTTTTAATATTACAAATTAATTATTACCGGAAACATGAGTCAATAATTTATACCAGTCCTAAATGTTTGATTTTATATTAAAAGCATTTTGTTTAATTAATTATTAATATTAATAAATATTAAATACAATAAATAAAAATTAAAGTTAGGAAAAGAATGTAGAGAAATTTCACCCCTTGGGATCTCTCATATGTGTATATGATATTATGATGCGTTACAGGTGATCCCGACTCTCTAGTGTCAGCGCAGCCTAGCATAGTTAACATAGGGAGTGTCGTACGATATAATCCTGTGTCTTCTCGCAGTTGAACAGTGGAATTCGCATACATACCCCCACCAAAATCCCAACAAATTTTGCAGTTATTTCAACCAATTCTCCTCTGCAATTCACAGACCTCAATCAATAGATAAAAATGGCTGATCGTTTCTCTCTCTAGACGTCGTAATCCGCCCTTAGTGAGAGAATACACAAGTGTTCATACCTCTTCTTTCATCTAAAATTTGAAATTAAGATCGTAGGGGTTTGTTGTTTTAGCAAACAATGGAAAGGAAACAAGGTTTTTTCTCCACTTTAAGAGACGAGGTGGTCAGTGGTTTATCGCCGGCGAGGTCACGTGCCCGGAGTCCGGCGAGGAGTGGTTCGCCAATGTCGGGGCTGCTTCGACTGAAGCCTAAGCAGTCGCCGTACCAGGAGTCATTTGTCGGAAGATCGGGGAGTTTGAGTGGCGAAACGCTTGCACCGTTGATTGAGGGACCCGATCCGGCTGCGTCAGAACTCGGAGAGTCTAAACGGTCCGGGTCGGTTATCGGGAACTGGGTGAAAGGTCATCTGTATAGGGCTCCGTCAATCACCGCTTCCATGGCTTACAAACAGAGGTCTGATCTGAGGCTTTTGCTTGGAGTTATGGGAGCACCACTCGCTCCGGTGAATGTTAGCTCCACTGACCCTCTGCCTCATCTCAGCATTAAGGACACTCCTATTGTAAGTGTTGCTTTCCAATGTCTTTTTTGTTGGTATGGATTTAGTGTCACGTTACTTCTAGGGTTAATATCGTTTTCCACCATTGTCGTTTTCAAGCTGTCGTAATGAAGAATTAATTCTACATTAGAAAATGCAAATTACAAAACGGTGTTTGTAAACGAGTTAACGCAACTCAGTGGGTCGAACAGGTGGTCCGAATTGCAGAAAATTGGGACCTGAAACTAAAATGCTATAACAGAAGATCCGATCTGGCCTGGATTCAATTCCCTTCAAGCCTGAAAAGGTCTCTGAAGTTAAGCATACGAATCTTTTAAGGGTTTTTTTCTCTTTTCCGGTGGGGGGTTGGTGGGTCCACACCATTCCGCTGCCCTCCCCATTGCATGATTGAAATGCTTCCTTGAATCAAACCTGTCGAACAGGTTTTGAAAATAACATTCATTAGACCTTAAATGAGGGCTCGTTTCTTTCAAAACTTTCGGATTTCAAAAATATAATTTTCTCTTCTTGCTTTAGAGTGATCTATAAATTTAGGTTTTTGTGACCTAAAAATCGTTGCTAATTGAAAGGGAAATGCTGCTTTGCTAAGATTTCCTTCTGGGGATCTTTCCCGACACGTGTTTTTATTTTCCAAAACTGAAATACAGGGTATGAACTTTAATAATAATAAGAATGATGGAGATTGAAGAATAGATTTCATACATGAGATTTGATTTCATTTATGATTCAAGAGAAACACAATGATCCACGTGCGAGTGGACGAAACGATATGTGGTGATCTGGTTTTCTTTTTGATTTTACAATTCAGAAATAGGTCTTTTATACATATCTTGATGCAATTTATGGCGAAGTGATTTTGATTTCAGTTAACCCTTTCACAAGATCTATTGTGTTTGATTAGCATTTTCAGAAGTATGATACTTTGTTCGAGTCCTATGGTTCCTATAATGCAATTAACTTGTTTTTTCTACCCTCTGTTTCTCGAAAAGTAGCTCATGTTCAACTTTCGAGTGTCAATTGTGTTACCTTTTTAATTTATAAATAAATAAAATGAAGATGAGTTGTTGATTGCATAATTCTTGCATAAAACAAAGATGTGTTGTAGATTGCATAGTTCTTACAAGGTCAAAACTTGGTTTTTAGAACGAGAAGAGTGTTATTTAATTATTCGGCATCTAGATCTGGAAGAATCCCCATTAATGCTTTCAAGATTTTTGACCAGAATGATTTACCTTTTTTGTACTAGGGTTGTGTAACATGCTTAAGTCTGCTAATTTTTTTTGAGAGAAAGAAATCAATAAATAAAAGACTTGGCTAACGAACGAATTGAAATTGGGGATGTTGATGGCTGTTAATTGTCCATAAATTTATCTTTGATGGCAAGTTCCTTTTCGTTGCACTCATTTCTTGATCTAACCGGTGATCATTCCCTATAGGAAACTTCATCTGCTCAGTACATACTGCAGCAGTATACAGCTGCGTCTGGAGGGCAAAAGCTTCAAAACTCCATAAAGAATGCTTATGCCATGGGAAAGGTGAAGATGGTAGCATCTGAGTTTGAAACTGCATCCAGGGTGGTGAAAAATAAGCATGCTGCAAAAGGTGCTGAGTCTGGTGGATTCGTTCTGTGGCAGATGAATCCCGATATGTGGTATGTGGAGCTTGCAGTTGGTGGAAGCAAGGTTCATGCTGGATGCAATGGGAAGCTGGTTTGGAGGCACACTCCCTGGCTTGGTGCCCACACTGCCAAAGGCCCCGTTAGACCTCTACGTCGTGCTCTTCAGGTGAATCATTTTTTCTTTATCAACCATTATTCTTCTCCTTTCTAGGGTCTTCTTTTTCCAAATTTGAAAGATTATAAATCTGAGGATAGAAATCTTAGTATGATGTGCTCATTTGTGCGATCCGAGTGTTAAATGCACATTCTTATTTTATACTCGGTATTTCTTGTTTCAGACGCCATCATGACCAATTAGTGATTACCCTCAACTCTTAAGTAGTGATGAAGAAAAAAAAATATTGTTGTTGATTTAATTGGTTCATAGAACTTATTTGGTATTAAATTTAATGTTTCTGATCAAAGTCATCGTTAACAAACAGGGTCTTGATCCAAGAACCACTGCAAGCATGTTTGTTGATGCAAAATGCATAGGTGAGAAAAAGATCAATGGGGAAGATTGCTTTATTCTTAAACTATGTGCTGATCCTCAGACATTAAAGGCTAGGAGTGAAGGTCCAGCTGAGATCATAAGGCATGTGCTGTTTGGATACTTTAGCCAGAAAACTGGTCTAATTGTTCACATGGAGGATTCACATCTCACCCGCATTCAGACCAACGGTGGAGATGCAGTTTACTGGGAAACCACCATAAATTCTTTCATGGATGATTATAGGTCTGTGGATGGCATGATGATTGCGCACTCGGGTCGTTCTGTGGTTACCCTTTTTAGGTTTGGAGAGATGGCAATGAGCCATACCAAGACGAGAATGGAAGAAGTTTGGACCATTGAAGAGGTTGTGTTCAACGTGCCAGGGTTGTCAATGGACTGTTTTATCCCTCCTGCTGACTTAAGATCTGGGTCAATCAGCGAGTCCTCCGAACTTCCCCAAGGAGGGGAACGAGGAAAAGCTGCAATCGCAATAGCTGCTCATCGTGCAAAGGTTGCAGCGCTGGAAAAAGGGCAGGATAATGTGGTGTGGAAGATGGAAATGTGATAAATTAAGATTAGAAGGAAGGAAATTGTTTATATAGGGTGGGTCAAATCAATGGTAGTATCTGATTGACTAACAGCAGCTTACAAGATAGGAAGTAGAATAAAAGTGAGTAAAAATATGAGGTAGCATAATAATGAATGACCATGGGGGTTGGAAAGATGGTGTTTATTTGAATGGAGGTTTATTTTTAGTTTACCTCCTTCCATGAATGGAAAAATGGAGGAAAACTGTGCAGTTTTGAAGCAGCAGCTTAGTATTGATCCCTAGTTGTTGTTTTTTAGTTTCAGATGTGTTCCAGTTGGATTGATGTGGTTGTTGGGTTTTTTCACCTAGTGGTGTAGGTGTTTTGAATGTGTGTTGAATATGAAGAAGAAATATTTAGTTGAATGTGGGTGTATCTTTGATGTTTGCTGGCAATTTCATCTTCTTTGTTTGTTTGTTTGTTCTTTCTTCATCTGTAATGTATTATGCATGTGGTTGGGTTGTAATTTAATAATTGTAGATTTCAACCCGATACCTTATTCATATGTATTACACTCAATCCTCCCACGTGTTTGTTACATTATGAAGTTGATCATGGAACTCCAAGCAGACTAGTTGGTCTTCTAGCCTTAACAAACGATAGATAACCTACTTCTCTAGATTGAGGTCCTTTGCTGTAATAGATATGATCAATCATAGCTGATTGGTTCTTGCCTGTAATTTTCTAGAGACATTACGTGATTAACAACTTTCTGAGCCTAATTCTCAAGATCTAGGTCCTTGCTTGTGTCTTCAACATGGGTATGCCATGCCAATCACTTGTCATCAATAACGTGAATCTACGGACCAATTCGTGACAAAACGATATACGACGAATCCTAATTTGTAATAAATGAAATTTAAGAAAACCACCAAACCCCAGGGACCAAATCCGCAATTTACACTTTAATTAATTATAAAAAAAAAGTCACTTTTAGATCTGATCTCCAAAAGTAAAGATAACACCAAGGGGTCGTTTATCAAACACTTATCCGGTGAGCGTTTACCGGTAAATTTAACACTATCATTTACTTACCAGATAAGATTTTAGTCCACCAAAACGGTATTGTATGCAACAATTTACGCGGTAAGCGCCTATTGTGGTAGAGTCGTCGCCCTCACTTACCGGATAAGACTCTTGGTCATTGTCTCGCTCTTACCGGTAAGATTTTTTTATTCTTACCATATTCATCCGGTAAGGTAAAATGATTTGGTGTTCATTTACCCGAGTAAGCGTTTGGTAAACGGCTCTAAGCGATAGCATATATTCAGTAGTCGAAAATTGACAGAAAATACCTGTCTATTTTTTTAATCTAAAATCCGTTATTAATTGACAAATACATAGGGCTATGTATAACGACCTCCTCCTATTTCAGTGATTTATATATAATTGAAAACTAAGTGAAGAATGGGATACCAAGCATTCATTGCATTCTCCTCCTCCATTCATTACTCATTAATTACATGTCATTCACTCAATTCAATGAACCCTCTTTTTCTCATAATTAATATGATTGTTCCAAAATGGATATCCTCTTTAAACGAGAACACCTGTAATTTATATAAATATAAGAATATTTGTAAGTCAGTCATTTTGTTTTAAGCTACAGTTTTAGAAGGATTGAGAGTGCAATATAATATTAAATAAATATTTATCCCTTTAATAGGAATATCGAAGACATGCATGTATAAAATGGGAAATGCTGCAAATATGTAATGAACAGACATAACTGATGACTATGAACATGATCATCGTTGGTCTTCAATTCATTACAGCAAAATCAGATAACTATCACATTATTATTATTACAACAAAATCACATCATAAGAAATCTTTAGTTTATCAAAGCAATATCACATTATTATAACAGTAAAATCACATCATTATCGACAGCAGATGAATAAGCATAAAAAGTCTTCAATAACACTAGCAATGTTTAGGGATAAAGACAAATCTAAGATAACAAAAAGTTGTTGATAAACACTAATTTATTTCCATTTTAAATGTCATGTCAGGGTCGCATGTAAGGGTCACATATCTTCCTAGCGGGATCAATTTCGCCAACTTTTGATTATTGAGTAGATTTTTTCATTCTCTTGGTATAAAATGAGTTTTGAACTGTCATTTGGGGGACTTCAACCATATATCATTAGGTTTTTATAAATTATATATCAAGTTTTTCAATATTATTACAAGATTTTCAAGTTTTTTTTTTATGTTTTTCAAGTTTTTGTAAATGTTCCGATACTAAATCTAAAAAAATGTAACTGTAAGAACATCTATAACATTTTTGTATAAAATAAAAAATTTAACTTTAAAGTGTATTTGAATGACCCAATTAGGGATTTTAAAATGTATTTTAATAAGATATTGCCAAAAGAAACTTTAAACTATTTCTTTTTGTTCAAAATTGATCTTTGGGTGGAAAAGAAATTGGGGGCCAATTTGGATGCGACCCAAGATCGGTTATAAGAATCGTTTACAAAGCATGGAGACCGAGCCTTCATATTTTGGTTGAGACCGAGACCAACTACAAAAAGACAAATTAGGGGCATGACTGATTTTTAACCATCTCTATTTATGCATTATAGATAAATACATGTTCTTTATTGACTTCCATCAAGATCAACGTCAAAGAAAGGTGGAAGAAGAGAAATGTACGTGGCAATATCTGAGAGCATGGACTGAAAAACAAGCGTAGGGTCGTTTGTAGCAGATCAGCCCACTTTTAGGGCGCGGGCGGGTTCCTGTTTTAAAGGTGGAGGTCCGGATGTTAGCCTTTCCCTAAATCCCCAATTCCACCCACCTCTCTTATCTGATTCCAAATCCCCCATTCCATTCCTCTCCAAGATGGCCATGCCTTTGGGGTTTTTCTCCACTTTCTCTTCCGTTACGCCGTCGTTGCCCAAGTCTTCATCGTCGTCTCTGATGCTTGTTCAACCGGCGTCCCTTCAACCCTACCACGCTAAACCGAGGACACTAGTAACCTACGCCACTGCGTCGAAGCCTGCCACCGAGACCCAGACCAAGAAGAGGGCGCCCAGAGGCTTCTCGAAGCCGCGTCCAGTTTCACCGGAGATGAAGGATTTCCTCGGCGGTAGAACGGAAATCCCCCGTACCGAAGTTCTCAAGGTCATTTGGGCTTACATCAAAGAAAAAGACTTACAGGTACCAATATATATATATATATATATATATATATATAAACTTTTTTAGTTTCCCAGATAGTTATATGAAACCCTAGCTTGCTTTACTATGTTGCAATCTTCAGTAATTAGTTGATGGATAATGATTATTGTATTGAATGGTAGGTTGAAAGTGACGAAATTTGATATGGTTTTGTATGTATACAGGATCCAGCAAACAAGAGGGTTATCATATGTGATGAGAAGTTGAAGAAAATATTTGGGGAGAGGGATCATGTTGGGTTTCTTGAGATTGCTGGTCTAATCAGTCCTCACTTCCGGAAAGAGGAGGAAACTACTTGCAACTGATTCCGCTTTGCTTTCGATTAGTTTCTGCTAGACAACCAAGTATCTATGTAAATTGGACATCTATTTTGGTTGATGATATCTTGCTAGTAAGAAAGAATGGCATCCAACCTTTTTGTAGCTTACCACTTTGTTAGAAACCATGTTTTAGAACCTTGTTTCAGTAGCGTTTTTACTTTGTTGGATCTTCCCTACTTTTAAATGTTATGTCATTGTTACCACTTATCATATTTGCTATTTGTTTCCCTACAAATGGTTTCAGATGTGCTGCAGCATGTAACTTGGGTTTTTCAAGATCTTGTCCTTCTCATCCAACCTTTTTATTACTTGTTTAAAGAGGTGGCAATGGACCATAGCAAGTCTAAAGATGATCCATCAGTCTTGTGACTGGCAAATGGCAATGGACATCAACCTTTTTATTGAATGGAGTTTGTTCTTAGATGATATTTACCAAATGCAATGCTGCATTTACAGCTACATATGGATCATATAATGGAACATGATTGAGAAAATTAGCACTCTTTTTCCCCCTATGAAATCATTTTAGACCAAAAACCAAGACTGAAGAGTCACTACAACTATCCATTACCCAGTTGTTGAAACTTCTTGGCTACGTAAATCGACGTCTAGTTTGGCCAACGACATTACCAGTAAGAAAGAATAGCACCCAACTATTATTACTTTACATGTACCAAGAATTAAGATGCAGCAAGTAATAGAATATGTAAACTTCAATGGTTATGAAACCGATTCCTGACTAACAAAGTAGAATTGAGACTTGTTTGCTTACCAATTACTGTATATAGCAATCTAGATGAGCAACTTCTTGCTCTGTTAGAGTTTAGCGAGGAGTTGTGCCAGCTGCTCATCAGACACCTTCACATCATCACATGTACCCAGAGACACAGCAAGTCTAGCAGCCAATTGATGTTTGCACTGACCGTGAAATCAAAAATCAACAGTTCAAGAGTGGAAATGGAAATGGAAATGGAAAAGAGAGGTTCAGGTATTTATTCTTACATAAAGCTGTTCTCCTCTATTCACAATGTCATAGAAAAATGAATAGCATCCACAATAGTGTTGTGGGAAACACAGGTATTCTTCCTTCCTCTTCGATTCCCCAATTATCTACCGCAAACAAGCAATATCAAGTATAAGCCATTGCAAAAATGTTGAATAAAACACAAAGGAGTTTGTGAAACCTGGAAGATGGAGCGTCCACTGGTTTCTGCCGATATCTTCTTGACGCCCTTTTGATCCACAATCCTTGTAGCTCTCTCCAAGTTTTTACCAAATAAAGTATGCAAACTGTGTTGCGAAGTAAAAGGATGAGCCAGTTTTACCGATTAATTGTAACAAAATCAAGGATAGGTTGGTTAATTACTCACATCGAGAGCTGTTCATCACTGACTGCGCAAAAGCAAAATTAGGGCTACGAAATTTGTGGAGTAAGAAGAAGGACGATCTGAATTGCAATAGAATTTGAAATTTGTACCTGAACGTGTCGATTCCATATGGCTCCATATGGTTTCTGCAACTAATAAGCTTATGGAACTCATTACCAGCTACCCTTAAAACCCTAATCTGTTTATACAACAAACAGAAACCCTATTAATTACTTATCGGATCATCGTTCGTTCCATTTTCGTCTTTCTCCTTTCCCATTTTCTTCGTCCTGTTCCTGTTGTTTTTCTTTTTTGCCGTTGCCGGTAAGAAGGAAACAAAAAACTCAAAATATTTTAACAAATAAATTCATAAACTTACTTAAAAGGGTTTGGGATTGCTTAAAAAACAATTTATTGACTTATTTCGGTGTGACACCAGTAATAAGCACTTTTGAGTGTTTGAATAAATAACTTATACGGTGCCAAACTGGTAATAAAATATTTTTAAAAAAGTTAAACTATTCTAACTTATAATCAGTTTATAAGTGTTTTCATAGAAAAATATAAGTTGTTTCAAAGAAGCAAATCCCAAACACCCCCTAAATCAGATAAGATGATCATAAGTTTTTTTTAGCATTTTTTCCGTTATGTTACCATAATAACTGGTTTTATAGGCTAGAAGGATCAATTTGTTCGATTTTAATACTTGCAGGAATTTATTTGTTAATAAAACGTTCATAGACTTGATCATTCAAAATATAAAAGTCTATTGGTCTTTTAACTTCTCCCATAATAAATTTCCATCATCCCCTACAAACTAGTGATCACAAATATTACAGTAGCAGACTAAACGCTGAAGAGTTAGACTGGACGAGGGGAGTTGGATGAGACTTGAGGGAGGCAAACATATGACCATCTGGGACTAGGGGGAAACCATGTAAGACGAGGGTAAAAATAGAAAATTTAAGCTAGTCAACAAACGTTTTTGATCTTTGACTGGCGGCCTTTCCCCAGTCCTAGCCACCACCTTTGGATGGAATATACTGTACTTGTTTGATTGATTTTCTCATACTGCATTACAGAAAGTGATGTTTTATAAGTTAATTGCTCATATAAAGGAGGGGAACAACATAAGGTGATTGACAAATTCTAGTGGATGGTTCTTCCCATTGAAGCCATATAACCCCAAAAGGAAACCAACACCCTCCCCTCTCTTTCCATAAACTCAAACTACATACTCACCTAATATTACACAACAAAACTGTAAACTATTTTACAAGTATAGGTTTTCGACAGTTGGGGCAGGCTCCACATACCCGAACCCAAGGAAACAAGCAGCCTGAATGGAAGGTGTGTGTGCAATTCAACCGTATCACCTTAACACCGTCCTCAAAACCTTCGAGACAAATCGTACACTCCCTTGAGTTTGACGTTTCGTCATCATTCATGAAACCGAAAACCTCCAACTCTAACCACTTTAACCCATCTTGACCAGGATGTTTTCTTCTTCTCATTTCTTCCAACAGGTTATTCTCACTTCCAGTAAACCTATCTTGATGACTGCTGGATGACCCACCACTGCTTTCTGAACTGCGGAGTTCTGATGGGATCCTGCGCATTGGTGTTGGTATGGTCGCACTCCCACTACTGCTTTCTGTTTGCCTATAAAAAGGTTAATTTTCATAAACATCAGTTCCATTTCATTGCAATTTCATGCCTTGTGACAATGATGATTATACCTATTTCCAGAAACAGAGACGCCCCGTAATCTTTCCACAAGTCTTTCCCTTGCAAGTAATACAGATCCAGGAAGCCTGTCATTCCCAGTCTCTCTACGTCTCTGTATGCTTCTGAAATCGTCTGAATTTATAATGCTACCAGACGGAGACTGGCTGCGCCCTTGTTCAGGCTGAACTACTGGCTCATGTTCCTGAGTTTCACAAACAACATTATTATCACTAACACAACCCATTCTTAATCTCGTACCTACTATTACTAGCCTTCACAAGTTCAAACATACATAACACCATCATCCGCAAAAACCTCAAACTAGGATATGAATGTGAAGTAAATACTAAGGCGTTTGGTTTGATGGAATGATTTTGAGGGATTTGGAATCTTTGGTGTGTTTTGTTTATATGATTTGGAATGTAATGGAGTTCCATTATTTATAGAAAATTATAAAAATAATTAAATTACCCTTTTATTAATTGATAATATAGAAAACAAATGTTTTTTAAATATTTAAAATCACTATTACATACAAATCTATGAAATACATACCAACCCCATGGGATTTCAAAATCCTATGTTTGGGGGATTTAATGAAATCCGGGATTTCAAATCCATGAAATCCTTCAAACCAAACATGGGATTGGATGGAATTCAATTCCAAATCCAATCCAATCCCGCAAACAAAACGGGACCTAAGTAACTCAAACAAACATTACAAGTATAAAAAGATAAGAGGGAGAACTATAAAGTTACAAAGGTGTAAACCAACAGAACTAAAAACAATAATATTGGAGCAAAATTTCGACCATTAGCAGGTTTCTGATTTATGACACAAAAGCCTTACTCCCAAAAGAACATGAGTTTCTGATTCCAAGATCTTCTTGAAGATGGAAAAATTTTCAAATACCAATAAAAAGACATGACTCAGATGATCAAATGCTGAGTTGCAGTCTTGCAGCACTCTTAAAATAAACAAGGCACTGGGATCATTGGTTCATATAGACACTCAATTCTGTATTTTATTTGTCAAATGAACCCTTCTTACATTTACATAAGGACAATCTAACCACATGCCTTGTGTGTCATCCTATATGCAATGGAATTCTCAAATATCATAATCCATAGATATAAATCTACAATAGATCTTCCCATCCTGGGATGTATGCATTAAAAAAAGATTGAATCATCATTTTAGAAACATACCTTTTTCCAAAAAATACAGGGATGGCACATTATAAGGATGATCTTGCAGTACCCACCCCTCCTTTATGCCAAAATTAGAATTTCATTTCAACTTTTGCTATCAAACGAGTCATTTCTAAAATCATAGTGATTATTAGAAGAGTCATCCTAGTGCACAATTAGCTTTTCAAAACTTTATCAAATCCACCTTTTCATTTCTGTCACACCTTTCACAAGTCAAGGGTCTTCATGGTAATAGCCTCTCTACTCTTTGGGTAGAGGTCAAATCTATGTACATCTTACCCTCCCCATACGGCCATACCCCACCATATGTGGGATATATCAAGTTCATTTGGTTTGGTTATCCTGGTGCACAATTCTTTCTTCTTTATCCTCAATATGTAGATCTCATTCATCTTTATCTTCAAGTCTATAATATATTTATGGTGGTATAACCCTAAAAAATAAATCAAGTTTTTCAGCTATAAAACTTGCAGTACTCTTTTCAGTTTGGAGTTTAGAACTTTGTTTATACTAGTTAGCTTCATATTATTAAACATAACACTCTCTTTGTCCTATGACATTAACATATCATTTTTGGACCCCAAAAATGACCTGTTCAACCTTAAAAGGTTATGGATGGAGTACTCTGTCATTCATCATAATTTTCATTGTGCTTAACTAAAGGTGAGGTAGCAAGTTAAGCCCGCTTGACAGGATCTAACGTCCATATAACTTAAAGTATCCAAGAGAGCCAAACACCAGTTCTCATTTTTATTTTGTTCAAAAAGGACTACACCAACAAACATTAGTACTGAGAAGCACCGAGGATCATATGGCTGTTGCTTCAAAAATCGAGATATTGTTGATATGAGAAAGGAAACTTGCAAATCCATATCATTTAAATTTGGTACTGCTTTTATTTCAATTGCTACGTACTACCTGCTAGTACAACTAAAGATGTTGTACGCTAGCCAAAGGTACTACTTTCTCTGTTCCAGCAAAGAGTGAAGCCGCCAAACTTCAGCATTGGATGTTTAACAAGTTACTAGTCAACAAAATCTATAAATTGTCTCGAAAAGAAGCTTAAACAACATCACATCCATATCAGTTTGGCATATTGAACTTGAAGTACCAAGTTGGACATCTAAGAGCATCTCCAACAATTTCTCTATATTGTTCTCTAAAATAGAGAAAACTCCAAGTTAAGAATTCTCTAAAACTTGATGTGTGGTAAGAGAAATTAATTTTTTATTCATTCCCACCAATAAGATTGAATTATTATTATTTTATATAAATTCTTCTTAGAAAGTGTATCGGGATGATAAATTTATAGAATATTTTAATAATATAATGAATTTTGAAATATATAAAATAGAGACTCTGTTGGAGTTAAATGTATTTCTTTTTAGATATTGTCACCTATTTAATTTTTTTTTATAGAGAATCTGTTTGTTAGCAGCCTTAAGAGGTTAATGGGGCTCACAGCTTATTCAGTCAAATCTATGAAAATCCCTCTCAAACAAAAAGTTTTCCGATCTATACAGACATATTAATCCACATAGACAACTTTAGTCATATAAAACTTAATGGAAAACCAACCAAACAGCCCCTAACTATAGCTTGTCTTTTGCAGAAAGGGAGCAGTGTAAACTACCTCTCAACTGTTTTAAAAAAGCATAACCAATTCATCTCATGAATGCATCCTAATTTAAGCACACACGTACATAGATAGATATGCATTAATGCATATTGCAAGCAAATGAAATCTTCCTCTTCAGATGTTCAATTCAGCGAAATGGCACAAGTTCCTTGTCTTTATTTTATCCCCATATATCACAATCGTTGATTTGGACATAAATCCAGGTTCAAATTTTGTAGGGGGGGTTATTAGCAAAATGTAGCAAATTTCTGAATTGCTAGCATTCTATCAAACACTTTCAATAGAATTTTTGTAATAGCATTCCCAATATAACCTTTTTAGCATTTATATTTTTTGGATGATGACAATTGACAACCCCATCCTACAATGGATCAACATGTCTATGAATTCAATGAATCAATCAGGCATACACATCACCTATCGAAGTAGATGATTAAACTAAAAGAAGCCTAAAGTCAATACCGAGTGATCGAGGCGACGGCGGTGGATCCGGCGGGAAGGAGGGTCACAGACATCAAGATCGTGGCGATGTTCACGGCGATTATTCTGGCTGTAATGGTGATTATGGCGACGGTTTACGGTGCGGTGTTGGTGAGAAGATGAAGAATCGGCATCAGGTAGAGAAGAATCAAATCCTGAGACGTCGACGGCGTTGTGGCGAAGACCAAAACGATACCTCCGACTGTGAAACAGCTCCGAAGCACTCGTCATCCACATCCACCACAAATCCCCTGACAAAAACTAGGTTTGCGTCATTTATGAATGAATTCTTCAAAATTTCACACAGCCATGGATAGTGAAGACTTGAAATCCTGTACCTTTGGATGATGAAGGTGATGAATTTGATATGTAATGAAGAATAATCAAGCAGATATGTAATGAAGAATAATCAAGCAGTTGGAGGTTGGAAAAGGGTGAATTCGATTTGGGGATACTTGAAAGGAAACACGTATTCGAAAGGATCAGATGGGATCGAACGCGAAACTTCTCGCCACTCGGACATTGTAATGTGGATTCTTGATTTCTTGTTTTATTCATTTTATATTTGCTTAGAAATAGTTGTTCACTCAGTGTTTTTCAACTTATTTTTTTCTATAAAAGTCTTTATCAATTTATTATAAGTTATAATGGTTTAACTTTTTCAAAAACTTCTTATTACCAGTTTAGTACCGATATAAGTTGTTTATCCAAACACTCAAAAGTGTTTATTACTGGTTCCACACCGGAATAAGTCAATAAATTGTTTTTATAATCAATCTCAAACACACCTTTAATACTATTTTTTTCTCATGGCTAAATTTGTAACATTGGTTAATTAATTAAATTATCTAAATACAACATGATCCAAACATTCATGGTAAGAAATTTGATAATTGAATAACATTAATTGAATTATTTGGGTATCTATAATAATAATAATAATAATTGGGTTTTATTTATATCATAATTTACAGTTAGATAATTGAATAACATACGTGGGTTTCGGGTTGTTCGGGTTTTAGATGGGTCGGGTTTTCACCCATCGGATTTTGGAGATCCCATACGATCCTTGAAAATGAGTTCATATATAGGAAACTCGTGGGCTCTGCTTTCGTGAATCGATGAGGGTAATCGCTTCTTTTAATCTCTTCTAGAATCCGTAAGTATAATCACTTTTGTGATTATTGCATTACTCATGTGGTTTCTCATTGATTAATAAAAGTCGACCTTCCTTTTCTATGTGAACGTACACTACCTATTGGGGTGAAATCACGAAAACCCGTTGATCATATTGCCTCACATTTTTTAATCCTAAATGAATTCCACGTTATTGCTAGTAAAGTCTATAGCTTTATCGTGTAAGACATTGTGATCAATACCAACACTTGATTTGACTAAACCAGGCGCAACAAAGAACTTTTAATCTCATAGTAGCCAAAGTATGCTGATTTATGGACCAACACGTGATCAAACTAGCAATGTCAGAAAGATAAAATCTATATTTCTTTGTCAAAAGTTGGTGGTTAAAGAAAATGGACAAATAAAAAAACATGAGTTCTGATTGGAGTACTGTCCCATTAGAGCCATATAACTACGCATCTTTTTTAGTTGCAATATTACATGTGGGGCCTTGTATCCTCGTATAATGAATCAGTAGACTATTTTAATACAGTATTTACTATGATTATTCATCTGTCAATAGAAAGACATATGTTTTCCACCCTGCCAGTTTTACTTTGAATCTTTCTACTACACTATGTCGAGCCTTTACGTTCCACCCATGCAAATATTTATAGACGAACGCAAAGCAGTTATATATACAACAACTTAGCATGCTTAAATCAGATGGATATAGATTACAGAAGGAATCAACATAGAATTGTCCCTAAGATAGTTAAGTCTTGATTATAAACTAGATTTTTATATCGTTTAAGAAGATAACCTACAGATAAAAGACATATAAAATGAATATGTTTCTAATCATATGGAACGGTTAAAATCTCTAACATCATAGTCATAAAACTCACATTAAGCTTCCACATTAAGCCATGATGAAGCCGTGCGCTTTTTCGTTTTCTAGCACACTTCATTAGGGCTGTAAACGAACCGAACGAACATGAACGGAGGCTTGTTCATGTTCGTTCGTTTAACTTAACCGAACAAACGAACGAACACGAACGGTAAACGAACGGAAATATTTGTGTTCGTGTTCGTTCGTTTAGAAATCAGGTGTGTTCGTGTTCGTTTATGTTCGTTCGTTAACATGTTAAACGAACGTAAACGAACGAACATAAACGAACGAGCTAAATGAACATAAACGAACGGGTTAAACGAATATAAATAAATATTATTTGAATTCAAAGTAAATAAATAAAAGATTATATATTAAATTTAATATATAAACGAACATAAACGAACGAATATAAACGAACGTAAACGAACGGTAAATGAACGAACGTTCACGAACATAAATGAACGAACGAGACTCTTGTTCATGTTCGTTCGTTTAACTAAACGAACAAAAAAAATTGTTCATGTTCGTTCATTTATTAAATAAACGAACATAAACGAACTTCCCGCCGAACGGTTCACGAACGGTTCGTTGAACGTTTGATTCGTTTACAGCTCTACACTTCATTTGAACAAAAAAAAGCGTTACTGTTTTACTCATGCTTGCAAATGCAATATCTAAGAGGACATACAGTTCGATTTAGTTTGTCATGATGTATTAACTAAAATGTTGCCGTGTTGCAATTGATTACGTTACATCAAACAACTTATTCAACCAATCTCTCAAGACTTCTAAAAATCATAGCATCATTTATTAAACCAGTAACCACACTACGACAATAGAAGAAAAAACAACAAATTTCAAGTTTGATTCATACAAAAATAGTAATGATTAAAATCAAAATTAAATTGAAACCAAAAATTTGATCATATTTTGTCTTTAACCAAAACAACTGATTTTTTTTGTTAACTTGGATATTCAATCCGTTATGTAAGCCGACTAATCCCAAGACGACCATCTGTTTTGCAGATAGCCCGGAATCACCACATTTGAAACTCCATGGCCACAAGAGGATTTTTATTTCTTTTTTAATTTGAGCCCGAGAAACAATTGAAATTTTAATAAACAAAAGTTTGGTGGTCAAAATGTGAATCAAATAAAATTGAAATGACCAAAAGAATGGTTCCTCAAGGTGGACCCTACTACGACTAAAAGCACTTGGGAGTTGCAAACACGCCAAAAAAGAACGGGAGTCAAGGAACTTATAGTTGTTTTCATGATAGTCCCTCAACTATCTTCATCATGCATTTTTAGTCCTCCAACTAATAATCAATCTCGTGGTTCTTAAGTTAATTCTTTTATCCATTTTATTTGTTATTTTTGCCAAAATTTTCATAAATTTGGCAAATTACTTGTATTTAGAAGACGAAATCTACTTAAAGCTTAATTATATTAAGCATTTGTCTTATTACTTTTTAATTTTTTTTTCCATTTATGTTGGTTTTATATATATATAAATATATAAGAAACGTAACAATGCATATTAAGTGATTATTGATCAAATTGGAATATTCGTTTCAAAGTTATTTTGTCTTTTTTCATTCAGTTTTAAAAGTGGGATTACTCATAAAATTTCCATGTTTATCAAAACAACATGTGAACAGGTGAACAATATTTGTTAAAAAATTCATAAGCCGTTGTAGATGTCGATTAGGTTTGTCCAGTTTTAATATATGAGAAGATAGACTCCGACTTATGAGTTATAGAGATTAACGTTTTCGGTACAATTACCAAAAACAACTATTTTATAAGCTTATATTTACAAAATGAAGTGGTGAAAATCATAAAATAAAATAGTTGAGGGACCATTTATGCAACTCACTCAAAAATATTATTAAAAAAAAAGCAATCAATCATCATCACAACCAAAACGTGACTTTTCCACCTCCATTTCCATTTCCATTTCCCTCCCATCTTTTATACACACACCAATAAGCGTTTTCCATTGTGTTTCCCATAGACCAAACTCATCTTCTCCATCTTTCTCTTCTCAGAGAAAAAATGGCATCTTTGAGCTTCTCATTCTTCCTTCTCTCAATCTTGCTATCTTTCAGTCCCATATTATGCACCAACTCTGAAGGTAAACATCCCACTTTCGTTTCTCTCTCTTAGGGTTTCAAAATCTCCATCTAATCGTGTTGAAATCTCTGTTTTTTGGGGGAATTGTTCATGGGTTTTGTGCCCTAACTCAGAATCTTGAAAACCCATCTCATGGTTCATGTTCAATTCTTGATTTTGATCTTGATGTTTCAGGAAATGCTTTGCATGTTCTGAGAACCAAGCTTTCTGATCCCAAAAATGTCTTACAGAGCTGGGATCCCACCCTTGTAAACCCTTGTACCTGGTTCCATGTCACCTGCGACTCCAGCAATCATGTTATTCGTTTGTAAGACTTCAAGATTTCTTAATGACAACACTTTTAATTTCTGAGTGTTTGTTTTAATTTCAAAGATGGATGATTTGTGCTGTTTGATTTCAGGGATTTGGGGAATTCTAATGTTTCAGGGACTTTGGGTTCTGAGCTTGGTGAACTCAAGCATCTTAAATACTTGTACTCTCTTACAACCCTGTTTTATCTGTTTATTTTGTTGTTGTTTTTTGTTGCCATTTTATGTAGTTGTTGCCAAAATTGCAGGGAGCTTTACTGGAACAACATTGAAGGCAAAATCCCAAAGGAATTGGGGAACTTGAAGAATCTTGTGAGCATGGATTTATATGGCAACAAATTCGAAGGGGAAATCCCAAAATCTTTCTCTAAATTGAAGTCTTTAAGATTTCTGTAAGCATGATTCGATTCTTTTAGCATAGTTTGGATCTCCGAAGACGTAAAAACTAACGATCATAAGTTGAATTTCGCAGGCGATTAAACAACAACAGGCTGTCGGGTCCTATTCCAAGGGAGCTCACGAAACTCTCTAACCTTAAAGTTTTGTAAGTCTTTAAGAATACATACGTATTCATATGTGAATGTTGTGAATGTTGTGAATGCTTATGATCTGAGTCGTGTTGTGGTCTTGCAGCAATGTTTCGCATAACAATCTTTGTGGTACGATACCTGTTGATGGCCCTTTCGCAAGTTTCCCTTCCAATAGGTGATCCTCCAACCATACTTTAAAAAGTTCGTTTGTGGGTCTCATTCACATGTGAATAAGAATGAGACCCACAAACGCGAATGCATTTTTTTAGTTCATTACTTCTCATATCATACAAATGGGCGTTAAAAAGTTCAGTTTCTTTGTTTTCTAGTTTCGAGAACAACCGATTGAATGGACCGGAGCTGCAAGGACTCGTGGCGTATGATTTCGGATGTTAAATTACTGGAATTGATGCAGCAAAATATGTAGCAAATTTACATCTTCTTTTGGGTCTTTTTTAAGTTATATTTACAAGTATCGGAGAACATGAAAATAGAAGACCTATAAATTAAAAGCTTCGGATCTTTTATCGAATTTTTATTGTTGATACGCCTTTCAAAAGGATGATGCATTTCGAATGCATCGATTCGTTTACCGTTTATGCGATCGTTTCGTAATTATGATTCGACGAGGCATGAAATACGAGTTTTGTTAACGACTCGTCGATGATCTTTAGATCGCATAGATTAATGACGCATTCGGGTTGTTGATACCACTTTTTTAAAAGGTTACAAAAACCGTTTATTGTGTTTGCTCGTTTTTTATTAGGTTAGAATACGGACAAGAAACAAAGCATGTTTTGTTGAGTGATATACAAGCGCCGGGAATATCCATATAAAGTAATAAAATGATTTTATCTCTACTATATTATAAAATATTTGATAAAAAATTTTAAAAACTATTTTTTATGTATGAAGTACTGTATATTAATGTACATTACTTAAAATTCAAGATTACAAGTAAATTATATATAAGTATAATTTATTAAAGTTTCATATTTGAATTCGTGTAACTAACTGCAAATAAACATAATTAAATAGAGGATAAACATCTCATTTTAAAATATAAAATATCTAAAATATAATTAGGATAATTATCGAGTTCTAACAGAATAATTAATTATTATTTTTATAATAAAATTATATTATTAAACCAAATATAAATTACTTCGTTATTAAACCTAAATTAAATTATAATAATAAAAATTTAATTAAAAAATTACATACAGAATGAAGAAATTTTAAATAGTTGATTTGATACTAATATCGATATATTTTTGTTAATTTTTTATGATATCTTCAAATTTATATTTTATTCAAAAATAAAAACTTCAACGTTTTTTTAAAATCACATAAGACCATATTATAACATTGATTGAGATAAAAAAATAAAAACGAAATATTAAAATCAAGATGTATCTCGTTGAATTGTACAAATACACTTCTAATAATATTAAAATATATACGGTAAATCATTTTTTGAATAATCTCCATATTTGGAGGAAAAACCTTACCTTTTATTTTTTTACTTTCTTTATTTTAAAAAACTTTTAAAAAATCTATTGGAGTTTAATTTTAATTTAAAATCTCTATTTTTTTCATTTTCTTTATTTTAAATAATTTATTAGAGATTCTTTAACTAATTAAAAAGTTTTATTTAAAATATTTGGCAAATTAAATATTGTTTTTTATTTATTGAAAATTAAAACAGAATAAAAAGAAGAGATGTGTTAAATGCACTCCTACCTTATTTTTTTTCTCACATACATTAAGATCAAGCTTTATTTTTTTACATTTTCAAAATATAACTTTAACTGATTCTGATATAAAAAAAGATATATGTGATATTACCCGAAAACGAATTGTTTTTGGTTTTCTTTTCGTTTGGAAGAATTATCATGTTTACAGTAGTATCAAATGTTGAAAATATATTTTATGAGGACATTTCAAATGCAACTCATCACATTTATATAACCAATGCAACCCAATCAACTGAGATATTTATGAAAATAATGAAAGTTCATTTATTATGATTTAAATATTTATGAAAGAGGACTAGAGTTCATTAATTATGATCAATACTTTATATTAGAAAACAATCAAAACTTTTATGAAATCACATATTTATCAAATTAAATGAATGGTTGTATTGGTTGTACAAATGTAAAGAGTTGTATAATAACTCACATTTATATTTTATTATTATTATTATATTTCTTTAAATATGTATGTTTATTAATTGCTTCTTTTAACATATACCCACTCTCTCATTTATTTCCCCACTTTATGAATCTATATTTGGGTGGTTATATATATTGAAGGTATGGCGAAAAAATTATTAAAGAAACCGAAAATACGAACAACAAAGAAGGTGATAAATAGAAACTCAACCAAACCACAACTGAAATAATAGAAAAGAAAGGGGCCACATATAGTCTACTGTGAAGGGGAAGTCACAACCACCGACAAGTTAAGCAGTACGACACTTATAACATAACCTGGACAAAACGAAACCAAAGAAAAAACCAAGAGACGAAAAACCGTCGAGACCTTAACCCCAATCATAAAGGTATTAAGCTCTTTCTTCGATTTTTTTAGTGCTAACGACCACCTATTGTTTATTTAGACTCGTCTCTACTCGTGACCACTAGGTGTGGGAATGCGCCTCCACCTATCGGAGAACCCGGTCCACCCGTCCCGGTCGGGGACGGGAACAGGTATGGTACTCCCCGCCCCACCCTGTAACCGTTATATATATATATATATATATATATATATATATATATATATATATTAATTATTTGTTTCAACTAAAACCAGGGGCGGATTTAGCATGTTAAAGGTGGGGGGAAGGGCCCCCATTAAAAAATAAAAAAAATGAATTTTTTTAAGGTTAAAAATTGTTTTTTTTTTTACTTTCTACCATGGTTCTCCTCCGTAATTTCTTGTTAAGGCCTCCACCAACTAAAGAAAGTATCTTGAAATCAACCAAAAAACTGAAAAGTTCTTCGAAATCGATAAGAAAACCTTAAAAAATCCCTCGAAATAATCCAAAAAAACTTCAAAAATCTCTTGGAATGGTGGAATTAGGCTTAAAACACATCGGACGACTTAGTGGGCGTTTAAGCTACCTTAAAGGTGCCCCCACTTGACCAAAATCATGGATCCGCCACTGACTAAAACGGTAGTTCATAATTTCCTATTTCCTAACTAGGTTTATAATCTAAATTGTTATTTTTTGGATGTTAATATGTAATATTTTGGATGTCAAGTCAAAATGCAATTACTCGATATGGTTTTATATTACTCAATATTTTTTGGTACACGTGACTTTAAGTTTTTTTTTGGATTTATTTGATTTTTTTTTTGGTTTTAGGTTATTAGTTCTTATATGATGTTGTGGTTTTTTTGTATTAAATTAAATTCATTTTGGTTTTAGGTTTATTGAAAATGTTTGAGGTTTTAAACATGTATGGTCTCTCACATATTTAATTTAAAATAACTTATATAAACAGAAAAAAAAAATCATCATTTCCCCGTTGGAGACAGGGATGGGGATGCGATTATATTCCTCGACAAGGATGAGGACGGGGACAGAAATAGAAATAAGTAATTGGGGACGGGGACGGGGATTGAGGTCCCCGCCCTATCCCTGCCCCATTCTCATGTATAGTGAGTAGTGACTACCCATACACCGTTATAACCTTGTACATAAACAAGTTATGAAACCCTAACCTCGTTTTTATAAAAAAAATCTAAAAGGAGAAATTAATAACCAACTCAGTGCAATCGATTGGTCAATTAAATAAATCGTCGCAGAGACAACAATATATCACTAAAAACGTAGAGAAGAACAAAAAGGTTTGTATTATCGACCACTCTTTTAATTGGGAATTTTTACAATAAAACGTTGAATACGTTGAGCCTTTTACGAAATAATTTACTCATAAAGAAATATATAATCTTCAAAGGTTACAAAATAATTTACCAATAAAGTACAAAGTTTTTACGAAGAAGGATTACGAAGCTTTAAGGGAGGTGGCAAATTGTCCAACTGTTGATGCATATTGTACAAGTCAATGAAACAGTTTACAAGGGGTTTTATTACGAAGCAGTTTAGGTAGAGATATATGTAATGCATTGTTACCGTATTCGTAAAGCTTGAAAAACAAAATGTTTACAAATTGATTTCACTAAGTGTTTAGAACTGATTTTAAAGTATTAACGAGCTTATTTTATAAACTTCATAAATGCTCGTCATTTTTTCATGGTTAAATTGACATTTATCAAATAGATCTAGAAACACTCGCTAGTAGTCTACTACAAGTGGCTATTGAGCAGCGTCGATGGACCATGGAAGTGTGAACGAGTTACTAAGGTTGTTAGAGCTAGACGAATGAATTTAATCAAATTCTATATATCTATATATATATATTATATTTTAGCAAATATTAAAACAAAATAATTTAAAATTTAAAATCAATATATTGTATTACTGATTAAACTTTAATTAATAAATAAATAAGTTGGTACGCAACGGTATTATTGTAGTAAACTATTTCTAATATCATGTACCAATTAAGTTTAGATAGTTGGTACGATATTACCAACCAACTAAAATGGTACGAATTAAATTGGTGTTGTATGAGAATTAGTTGATTTATCTTGGTACGACACCTAGAGGTGCTTAAAAACCGGACCAAGCCGACCAACCTAACCTAACCCAACCCAAATTGAAATAACCCAACCCGAAGTAACTTTGATGTCTAATTGAGTTGTAAAATCTTTAAATCATAGATATTGGGATGGATTTAGGTCACGGTCATTTGAACCCAATCCGACCTGACATTCTTTTATTTTTTGTATTTGGTATGATTGTTAAGTATCCAATAATATGTAAATTAGACAATTAGACCATCACATACCCTCTTCATATACATATATTTTCAATCTCTTCTTCATCATCTATATAACTCGTTCATTCATATATGCTAGAAGCGTACTCGCGCAATGCAACGAGATACATCGTGATTTTAATATTTCATTTTATTCTTTATCTCAGTCGATGTTATAATATGACTTTATGTGATTTTGAGAAAACGATGATGTTTTTATTTTTGGATAAAATATATGTTTGAAGATATCATAAAAGTTTGACAAAAATATATCGATATTAGTATCAAATTAACTATTTGAAATTCTTCATTGTTTTGTGTAATTTTTTAATTCAATTTTTTTATAATTTAATTTATGTACAATAACGAAGTAATTTATATTTGGTTTAATAATATAATTTTTTTATAAAGATAATAATTATTTATTTTGTTGGAACTCGATAATTATTCTAATTATATTT